GCATCTGTCTGGTACAGTGGTCCGGTGTGTACACACTTGGCTTCACTGCAGCCTAAATGTTTTCCTTCATGGGTATTTCTTGGTAGTTTAGCTCTGAGCTTTGGTTGTCCAGACTCCATCCCTGCACACTGATGCATTCTTGCTATACTCCTCGAGTAGCTTTCTCCTGCTTCCACCCTCTCTTTCCTCCCTTAGTGTCTGAGCTTAGTTGGTGCACCCGTGGTGGGCCTTCTACCATCCTTGCTCATCAGAATGGGCTGTTCTTGTGCTTACAGGAGCTTGTCCTTGAAGATCTACCTGTGGTAATTACAGTGCTAATTAATGGTAAACCACTTGCCTTTATCATTTGTGTCTTCCTGCTAAGGGGGTATTTTCTTTAGTAATGATACCAGAATCCCAAAATGGCAGTGGTGGGAAAGGCCCTCCAGAGATCACCCAGTCCAATCCCCCTGCTCAAGCAGTTGAATATCTCCAGAGATGGAGGCTCCACAGCCCCCTTGGGCAGCCTGTGCCAGGGCTTGGTCACCCTCCAAGTCAAGAAGTTCTTCCTCACGTTCAACTGGAACCTCTTCTGCTTCAGTTTGTGCCCATTGCCCCTTGTCCTGGCACTGGGCACCACTGGGAAGAGTCTGGCTCTGTCCTTGTGACATCTACCCTTCAGATATTTGTACGTGTTGATGAGATCCCCTCTCAGCCTTCTCTTCTCCAGGCTAAACAAGCCCAGCTCCCCCAGCCTTTCCTTAACATGGCTACATCCAGAGATTGTAATCTGCATCTTAAAATGTGCGTGTTCAGAAAACTTTTGAAAAGTTCTGGTTGTTTGGGTTTTCTTCTTCCTCAGTGCCCTGGTCTCTGTACTAGTGCTTAAGCCACGTAAGCAAAAAAAAAAAAAAAAAAATAGGAAGGAAGGGAAGGAGTCAGCTCTCTACTTGTTGGAAAGCGTGTGGGGTTTTGTGTTATACCAAACTTGAGGACAGAATGGGAAATAGAAGTCGCCTGTAGAAGCATGTTTTGATGATACTAAAGGGAGTCAATTAAATGTTGATTTCTTCTTTTTTTTTTTTTTTTTTGGTTAAATCTAGAACATGAAAGCGTTCACTGTTTGTGAAGACTGGACTTGGAAATAAAAGCTTATGTAACACTGGCAGCAAAAGGTCAAATTTTCAGGGTGGAGGCACCTCAGTATCGTAACCATTTCGGAAAACTCTGGTGCAATTCAGCTTATAGTCCACACTGTTTTAACACCGAACTACTTTCTGCATTCCATAGGGATAAATGCAACTCAGCTTCTAATACACAGTTCTTAACTGTGCGTACATAGCTATCTGAGTTTTGTACAAAAATGGACAGGTTTTCTGGGTGCAGAAAATGCTGTCTGCCCTAAATATCAGCTTTGCATTTACCCGGATGCTTTTCACAGATACGGTACAATATGGTTTTGTCCGCTTGGTAGGAACAAATAGAGTTATCAATTGCATGTAACTTATAATCAGTGATGAAATCTGTTACAAACAATTTAGGTGGTACCTGTTAAGATGCAGTTGGCCTGTGGTCTGGGCTTGCTTTTTGGAGACGTTTCTTTAAAACAATTTTTGCTGGCTTGAAACATTCCTCGTGTTCCTCCTCTGTCAACAGTTTTATCAGTCAGCCAAAGCGTAGGAAAACAAAACGCGATTCCTGTTGAACTTCAGTTCTGTGGGTTTTCCCTCTGGATGTGAAGCTCTGCATCTCTTTATGCCATTTTTGATGGACTTGGAAATAGCTATATTCTCAGAGGAGTTTTTCTTGGATCACTCTTTATTCTCATGTTCTAGGTGCACCACTGCTTGTCCCTTGGCATTTTTCTGAACTGTAAATAACAAGGATGCCCTCCCCTGCCTTCCCAGACTGCTATTAGGTGCCTGTTCAGAGCGGGGCCGCACCCATGCCCCTGCTGCTCCCCACCTCCGAGCTTCCCATCAGCATCTGCCAACAGCATCCCTTCATTAAGGCTTCGGTCTAGAGGGGCACAGGATTTCTTTTGATTAAAACCAAGAATCTTTCGAGGCTTGCAGAATTCTGCCCCTTTTTAATAAATCATGTTGTAACTTCAGTGAATCATCAGTGTGAAGTATCAGCACCGTCCTGTGGTTTGTCCCTTGATAACAGCTAGGAAATCACTTTATTTGCACTGTGCTTGCACATGAATTATTGATTTGACTGATTTTTTTTCATCATATTAAGCTCCTTTTGGCAAGTGTTGTCAGTGGGATGATGTGTTGAATGCTGATCCGGCTGTCAGGTTTACTTAGAGGAAATCTTCTCATGAGTCCTACTTTTGAGCGCATGTTCAAAATATACAGATGACTTCGATTTTAAAAATTGATGCTTTCATTCAGTTTGCGCTTCTGAAACTTTGCATTTCACAGTCCTTTTCTGGGCAATTTTGTGTAGTGCTTTGAAGAGGTAAAACATAATATAAAATTGTTCATTTTTTCAAAACAGTGAGCTTAGTGGTTAATATTCCTTAGATTTGTTAAGTGTTACGAAATATACTGGAAAAATGCAGTAAATGCATGCTTTTCAGCACTTAAATCTTAGTGCACTAAGATTTTAATTCTAGTTCAGCTTTAACACCTATTCTGTGATTCTTAATTGCCCCTATTCAAGACAAAGCATTGTCATGTTGAACTTGGAGATACAGATAGCATTTATGTAAAGCTTTTTTACTCTGTGTAGTCTTATTCATGACTGATTTGGTGGAAGGAGCTCTCAAAATTCAGCATGCTCTGTTAACTCTGGGCGCTGTTTCTTTTCAGTGGGCCTTTGGAGTAACGCTGTGGGAGTTGATGACTTTAGGACAGACTCCATATGTTGATATCGACCCCTTTGAGATGGCTGCTTATTTAAAGGATGGCTATCGAATAGCTCAGCCAATCAACTGCCCTGATGAACTGTAAGTGGATGTTTTTGGAGAGAGGATAAAATGTCTGTTTTGTGACCAGCACATTAAGCCAGCCTTATCAATGGAAGAGCCAGGTTTGCCTTCCCCTACCAGTTTATTCTGCCTTTTAGGCTAACCGCCATGTAAGTATTTGGCTTCAGTGACCTATGTCAAGGAACTCAGGCTGAAATGAAATGCCTTTTTATGGGTGTTGTTGAGTTTCACTTAATCCTGACTCAACTCTTTTCCTTAGTCTAACACATGGGTGAAACACATGCTGATCAGCAGGGTGGGAGGAGGGAGGCAGAGGGGCCAGGGCTTTTCAGCTTAGTGTTTGGGGGACTGCAGTGTAGGAATCCACTAGATTTTTAAGTAGAGAGCAAGTCCATTCTCTCAGCAAGACTATGGAGAAGTGTTGTGTGTATGGAGTTAAACGACAGTGTTTGAGGCGTTTACTCCCAATCCTGACAGTACAGGAGAATGCAAGCGCACAGGCACTACCCTCTGCCTCACATGTTCTTCCAAATCCCCTTCCTGTAAACCTACCACAGCAACACTTTGAACTATGCTTGTACAATAGTCAAGCAGTTTCCCATATGCTGTGTATTGCTTACTCCTGGATCGCCTCTGACTCGTATCCTAAATCAAACCAGTGCTTCCAGTCACAGCACATTTATTGGTCCTTCCGTGTGTCTGTCTTCTGAAGGAGTTGTTTGGCATCGTATATCAGAAGATAGAGGATTCCTTTTCTCTCTCTGGTCAGCAGGTTTTCTAGTGGCAAATGCTGTATTTCATCTTCGGGTTGGGACGGTGGTTGCCTGGCTTATGTTCTCATGCCTTCCGTTTGTCTTTGCCCTGCAGGTTTGCTGTGATGGCCTGCTGTTGGGCCCTAGATCCTGAAGAAAGACCCAAGTTTCAGCAGCTGGTGCAATGTCTAACTGAATTCCATGCAGCATTGGGAGCCTACGTCTGAAACTGCAGAAGAAGATTGAATTCACTGATTGGGAGAAGGCATGGCATACATCTGCAGCTCCGTGCGTCGCTTGGACTCACACACGTGATGTGTATAAAGCAACACCAAAGGGAGAAAGCACTTCTTCCAAAACACTGTGCCTTAGAATGCTTTAGTAGTCTGAAGTTTTTTTGTAAGACCTCTTGATGTTGAATATTTTCTAGATATCACTTTTGCTAAGTTAAATCAAGACCTTTTTATTTGCCATCAGGATTTTTAAAGTGTAGCGATAGTGAACTTAAACACGAGATTTGGATGGACTTTGCACTCTTACAAACAGACACGTGATTATTTTTTTTTTTTGAAGGGTATACGGAACTGGTAGAAAAGTGAGGGTAGGGGAAATTAATGCATAAGCCACACTGCAGAAGATTTCCCCTGCTTTTTTAAAAACGTTGAAACTGAATCTTTCTGACCAGCTCTAGTGTTTGTACTTGTATGTATCTGGAATAGCTTTTTAGTATCAACTTCTATTTTGAGACAACAGCACATTGTGGTTGGATCCACAAGCGGCATCTTAACTTTTTTTAACCCATTCACGAATGTTTTTTTGGAAAAGCTGGTCTTCAGGAGACAATATCCCCTTTTTAAAGCAGTAAGTGATTATGTAAAAGTGATTCCAGTTTACCTCATACAGAGAGGAGTAAAGGTGGGGTAAAAATGGTGCCCCTCCTTGCAGATAAAGGCTGATGTGATTTTCTTAAGATGGTTTTATGTGCTAAATAGAGGCCTTCAGAGAAGCGCCAAAGCAGCCCTTATGTGGGAGTCTTTCACCTCAGAATTCTGGATCGCAGTTTCTCTTGTTCAAAAAGGTACTGGTTGTTTTTTATGGGCTTTTATGGCCTGAAATGGGCTTAAATATATAAATATATATTTGTAAAGACACTTGCAGAGTAAAGAATGTTTTTCTATTACATCCAATGTGAAAGCTTGGTCCCTCACATTGCCCTGTGTATTGAACATGCAGGTTGGTAGTTGTCGTTGGGCTGGAGTTGGGTTGGTATGAAGAGGAGGAAGATTGCCTCCCCCCCCGCCCCCGGTTATTTTGAGTTGAACATTACTTCAGAGGACTGAATGAGGTATTTCAGGAAAATGTGTGGTGATCCATTGATTCAGCCTCAGTAACTTTCATTTCTATGTATAACAAAGTTATTTGTAGAATAACTTCCAGTTCTCCACATGAATTGTAGATTGCATCCTCTACGTGGTGGCACCAGGAGGCAGGCTGCACTTCAGCATGACAAGTAAGCAATGAAGCTGTGGAGGGGTCTGGAGGCCAAGGCTGCTGGGGAGCATCTGGGGGAGCTGGGGGTGTTCATCCTGGAGAAGAGGAGGCTGAGGGGAGCCCTTATTGCTGCCTACAACTGCCTGAGAGGAGGGGGGAGCCGGGGGGTGGGTCGGTTTCTGCTCCCAGGGAACGGGCGACGGGATAAGGGGAAACAGCCTCAAGTTGTGCTAGGGCAGGTTTAGGTTGCACATCGGGAAATTCCTTCCCCGCAAGGGCTGTCAAGCACTGGAAGGGGCTGCCCAGGGCAGGGGTTGAGTCCTCATCCCTAGGGGTATTTAAAATCCATGCAGAGGAGATGCTTAGGGCCAGGGTTTGGGAGTGGGATGGCAGGGTTAGGGTAACAGTTGGGCTTGATGAGCTTAAAGGGCTTTTCCAACCCAAACAATTCTATGATTCTAATATGAAATGTGAAAAATTGCCTTTTTGTCTCGCACCAACTTCAGTGTAAAGCACCCGTAACCTCAAGTCTTTGTGCAGCTCCATGTTGGGAGCGTTGTCCTGACAAGCTCCGTAGCAACTGTAGCATTTTGGGAGACTTTGGTCTGCAAGTATGAGCAGCTGGGTTTGGCTGTGTTGGGTGGCTGCATTTGGCTGTGTCATGCAGATGTGTAGCTTTTGTTCTTTCCAGAATTCTGAACCTTGCTGAAGAAAATTAATCCTTTCTAATTAGTATCACATGAGGCAGAACTTTGCACAGTCTGTTCTCAGTCTCGCAGGCTGCACCTTTGCATTGCTGAGCTAAGACGGAGCGTCCCTCAAAATGCAGGAGCTTTCCTATCTGTACTTCGGCTAGTGAAGCAGCTAGTCTTGCTTTATCCTAGAAGGAAATTTTCCTGCTGTCTCAAGCTTGGGCACGTTATGATAGCTTTGTTTGCTTGAATTAATTGAAACTGGTTTCATTTGGTTGGCTTTGGAGTCGCTGAGTTTGTTAGGGGTAGCAGTAGGGCTTTGGTTGTGTGGGTTTCTCTGGTCTCCTTCCTTTCCAAGCCAGGAAGACTTCCTGATGTCAGTACTCATTTACACTGACTTGGTTGCTAAAGCTATCTGTGCAGAGTTCTTGGTATCCAGGTTTGTGTTGTGATGAGCTCTACAGAGGTCATAGCTGCAAGATTTACTTGAGGTTGGAAATAAGCCCAGGGTGAAAATATGGATGGTATGGACTTCGCCAGGTAGCCTGCGCCTCACTGAGCGCAGTGTGGTGGTCACATACGAGATGTGTGTCTGGCAAGATGTGCTCACACATGATACGCATCTGAAGCGACATCGAACCACTGCGGCCTTAAGGTGGGTTAGGGATGTACTGCACTTCAGGCTGCTCTGCTCAACAGCATAAGCTGCGGGAATGGTAAAATATGTCAACTTTTCCTTCAGTGGGCTATTTTGCATCTACACTGAGATCTGTGCACATCAGTAGAGGCGGAGAAGTGGTTTAGCATGGCGGTACAAATATCGGTTTTGGAAATAGATACAACTATCAGTTTTGGAAATTCTATTTTCATTTGAACATGTTTCGCCTACAGAGGTTAAAGCTAAGATAGGCTTTTTGCAGATAGCAGAGCTGCTTAGAGTAGATTTTACCCGAAAATGCGAAGAGCTTTTGTGCTGGCATTTTTCTTCACTGCTGTGTATGATATATCTTAGCTCCATGGCCTTTTAGGAAAGGCCTTGAGGAGCAGGTCACTTGAGTAGAAGACTGAAAATGCAGACTGTCTGGAAAGAGGATGTTATCAGTAGCCTCTACTCTTAAAGTACTTAGAAGAGTCTCAGTATTGAAGTTTGGATTGCTCAATACCTGTTACCTCAATAGAAATAAACACCCTCTTACCAAAAGGTCCACTATGGCACCGTGTTTCATCAAGAGCATCTTGATGATAGTCCTCAGGCTTACAAGCTCCAGTGGCAAACTAGGATGGAGACTTCACAGAATCCTACAATGGCAGGGGTTGGAAGGGCCCTCTGGAGATCACCCAGTCCAACCCCCCTGCTCAAGCAGCCTCACCCAGAGCAGGGTGCACAGGACATTGTCCAGGCAGGGGTTGAATATCTCCAGAGATGGAGGCTCCACAGCCCCCCTGGGCAGCCTGTGCCAGGGCTCAGTCACCCTCCAAGTCAAGAAGTTCTTCCTCACGTTCAACTGGAACCTCTCATGCTTCAGTTTGTGCCCATTGCCCCTTGTCCTGGTGCTGGGCACCACTGAGAAGAGTCTGGCTCCGTCCTCGTGGCATTCACCCTTCAGATATTTGTATGTGTTGATGAGATCCCCTCTCAGCCTTCTCTTCTCCAGGCTAAACAAGCCCAGCTCCCTCAGACTTTCCTCATAGGGGAGATGCTCCAGTCCCCTCATCATCTTTGTAGCTCTCCTCTGGACTCTCTCCAGTAGCTCCTCACCCCTCTTGAAGTGGGGAGCCCAGAGCTGGACGCAAACATGACTTACTTTGTGTTGACAAGAGGAGGATGAAAGAAGAGTGGCTGTTCTGGCCATACTAAACATATCAAATAGTCTTTCTCCAATCTTTTTTTCACATGTCTGACTTGGAACAGGAGGTAACAGAATCTGGCAGAGAGGTGCAACCTGTGGACTTGATATGTAGAAAAGATGTTTTGTATTTGGGAGCGCTGGGACATAGGAGCTAATGTAGAAGGGAAGCAGCTGAGAAAACCTTAATCAAATTTCTGGGGAAAATAGCACGGTGGGGGTGGACCCAACCCTCTGGAGCATGATGGCTCCTTGCTGTAGATTCTCTGTAAAATAATGTCACTGGAGACCTCTGCAAGAGCCGTTTCACTTGGAGCACTGATGTCAAAACTGTGTAGGGGGTGTTGTGGAGGCTGGGGAAGCAGCTGTTGGTAACTCTTGATGGGCTTAGAGACAAAAATGAGTAAACCATGTGGGATGAGAGTGGGTTTTGGAAATTATACTGCTCCCATATTAAGGAAAAGCCAAAGGAGAGGCTTCTTAGAGCAGTAGAGCAAATAGTATTGGAAGTGACCTTTGGGAGAGCTCGATGGAGCATGGCTCGTAGGCAAGTCAAGGAGGTAAAAGAACAGAAAGCTGTGGTTACAGGAGAGGGAGAAAATGAGGAAGATTCTGGTTTCTGGGTTTTTTCTTTGGGGGGGCGATGCTGGGCAAAGAAGGCAAGAAGAGCTAAAGGGCAAAAGCTGTTGAGCATTCAGTGCAGGGTGTCATGGGACTCCATGTGTTAGCAGAGGTCAGGGTTGGTTCAGAGGACTTAGGATGGAGCAGGGCTCCAGAGTGAAGGAGGGGATCAAATCACAGAGAGAAAAAACAGTGGTAAGAGAGGAGAGAAGGCTGAGAGCAGATGGTTCATCAACAGTGATGGGTTGAGAGCTGTGGAGGTGCTAAATAAGGAATGTGAAGGGCACCTGGAAAGCAATGGCTGCTCCATGGGCAGTTTGTCCGTGTAACTCAAGAGATGCCTTGGAGGATCAAAGCACTCTTCTCGGCTGTCTTGGCCAGCCTTCGTCTTCAGGTTGTCCTCAGTTTCCCACTGCACCTGCCTCCAGGTTTTCAGGAAAGGGTGAGGCTGGCATGGCAGAAGGTGAAGGCATGGGTGAAGGCATGGCAGAAGGAGGTGCATGTGAAGATGGTGCCATTTGTTTCTACTAGAGGTGACCTTATTTTACTGAAGTTTATTTCATTTTTATTCTTTTTTGCTTGGGTTTGGCACTAAGAATTGGGACCCCACCCCGAAGTGTTTTGTCTGACAGCCTTTGTGCTGGGATTTGTGAGAAGGTTTTCAACTGTTTGTTCTGGAAAGACATGTGCGTGGTGTGCTCGAAACTACGTGCGTGGAAGGGGCTTGAGTCAGCCGGTGCTTTTCAGAAGAAAGTGGAAATATTGCTGAGACTGTGGAATTTGTGTAAGGGTATTAAGTTTTGAGCATTTTTGTGGTATGTGACGGATATGAATCATTTTGAAGAAAAGCAGGATTAAAACAAGAAAAAATGTCCTCTGTGAGAAGAGTGGTATGAGTGCATCAGCCTCATATTGCGTGAGCGTTTTCCTCGCAGGTGAATCTGCGTACTTGGGACCAGGTATAAATTCAGCCGTCTTCTGCAGTTCAGTCCCAAAGCCCCACGGTGCCAGCTTGGAAACGCCTTTCAAAGCAGTCAAATATACACACCAAGCACAAATATAGATGCTGGCGTCAAAAAACCCCTCACTAAACATGAACGAAAGAGAACGTGTGTGAAGGGTGCCCATGCGCGCCTCGCCATAAGCATTCTGGGAAGCCGCCCTCTGTGTGCTCTCTAGCTAAGATGTGGTGTAATTTTTCCACCTTGGCACGTGACTGGGCGTGCAAACAACCTGTGACCCAAGGACTGGGCGTGTTTAAGGCTGTGTTAACTCTGCTTGAGAAATCTCTGTTCGTCAGGTGAAGTCCTCTTGGTGTTGGTGGATTGTTATTGCAGGACACGAGGCCAGCTTTCGATCCCAGCGCAGGGATTTTGGTGAGAAGCCATTGGAAGGAATAAATTGGATTAAAATAAGAAAAAAGGGCAAGCTGCCTACTAGCAGCCTGCTGGGAACTGCTGTG